CGAGCTTATTTTTGATTTTTTCCAAAAAAATCCACTCTCCTACCTTCTAAGATTGCTCGTTTACTAGTGCATGTCTCCCTATATAAACCTGGCTGTAGAACTAAGCTTTCAGTGAGAACAGCTCATCGATATACTGAGTACAGTAATTTTCGCTCATTCTCCACTTTGACCCAGACTTGTTTTGTAGATCATATGCTCCTTTTGAGATGCGCTTTGAAATGATCCTATGGTTTGAATTCATCGTTGAATAAGGAGAACGGCTCAATTTTAGCTATAGTACTAGCACCTAGCACTCAACCATCTCATATGATCTCCACAGAGAAAGGCTTAAAGCAGAAACCCATAGCTCCATTCTAGTTGCTTCCGGCCACTCACTGTTATCCGTAAATGCAAAGAACCCGAAGAAAATAGTGTTATCTTGGAAAGTAAGTAGATTCCAGTGACGGTCCCAGAATTTCCGTTTGCAAGGGTGGGGAACAAGAATTTTTTTCGTATAAATTTGCGTGGGGTAGCCACGAAATTTTCTTCTGAAATGCTATACAAAAATTTGGCGGGCCCGCAATCGCGAATCGAAAAGGAGCGTGACGACAGCTACACCCTCGAAAACTTTTTTTTACAAAACTAATTTGATTCAAAAAAATCGAAAAGTTGTTTCAATTACATATTTATCAACTGCACATTTTTATAACGCATTACCCTCCCCCTCTCCCCTTCCCCTCGGCCCGTTATTGGTACATCCATGAAAATTTTTTGAGATGATGAAAAAAGCACTATCTCAGAAGCCAGTTTGACGCAGTTCTTTTAGCGCTATTATAAAATGCAGAACAACAAGTCAAACCTTCTAGATTCTGCCTCTTATCTTGAGAAAGTTGCGAAAAATTTAATACAAACCCATTAGACTTTATATGCGCATCAAAGTGCATTAGCGTTAAAAATTGGAAAAAATCTTCGTCCGGTTTCGAATTTTCGAAATTGAATGAATCAAAGGTATTTTGAATGATGAGAAGTTCATTAAATGACCAAAATATTCTGAATCATCGCCAAACTATCCTATTCCCCCAACTTTTTTTATTTCTGTTAGCAAGACATTCTTGAGACGATTGAGTTGTAGTAAACATAACTTCCTCTTTGTTTAACCACTCTTTGCTCGTTCTACAGCACTGCTGTTGGAAATATCCTCTTCACACTTTCTCGGTTATTTAGACAACGGGTTCCTCAAAGACACAGAACCAGAATTTCACTAGCATTAACTAAGAACTCTTACTTTTGGCTTTCATTATTCGGCTGTTTCGTGGGTATCAAAAAGTTTTTCTAAAAATGATATGAATTTTTGAATTTGATTTTTCAAAAATTCTAGAGATTGTTTAGAATTAACTCGCTGAAACATTTACGGCATTATTATAGCTGAAGTTGCCACTGCTATGAATGAGCAAAACGGGGCTGTTCTGTTTGCTTTTTTTTCTTACAACAGCCGTGAACGATGAGAAAAAAGTCAAGGCGAGAAAAATTGTAAAAAACTTGAAAATATTTTCTACACCTCTGCCTTCAGACTGTTTGACAAGTACTGAACATTTTTATAAAATCAAAATGCAAATTCCCATATATTGCTTATCATGGGTAAAAGTGACTAAGACTTTGCTTTTAATGTATGCCAATATCAGTGGCGTACCGAGAGGGGGGGGGGGCGGGGGGGGGGGGGGGCGCGCTCCCCCCCCCCCCCGAGAATGGGTCGCGAAATTTTTGAAAGTTATTTAAATGTGTTATAAAAATGTGCAGAGGACTTGTTTTTACTTGTAAATTAAAATAATTTTTAAATATTTTTAAAAATTCAAATCAGCCTTGTAAAAAATTTTTTTCGGGGGCGTGGCTGCCGCCACGCCCCCTTTTTCTGAAATTTTGGGGTCAGGGGACCGGAAAAATTTTGGGAAGCATTCCAAAAAATTTTTCGGAGGGCGTGGCTAACGCCACGCCCCCCCCCGAACGGAAATCCTGGGTACGCCACTGGCCAGTACTTATCATCCCTTTTCGAAATCGCTTATGAATTTGTGGACTTTGGCGAATAAGCTTGAAAAAGTCGGAAAAAGTCCATACTGAAGCCTCTTACTATTCTTGAACCATTTTCTATGCCTGGGCACATCATTTCTCAAGAAAACATATGGCCAAGCATATGGTTTTGTTAATCTCGTTTTTTATTCATTCATGCGTCTATGATAACAACTTTGTACACCAGTTATAGCCTTCAATGTGAAGTATTTCCACCTGAAATTTGTATTTCTAAAGAGAAACTGATCGAATACTGGAATTTGCAGCTAATATTTGGCCACTCTCTGGGCACGGAATTCTTGAAAAATGGCTTTGACTTTTGCTTTCAGTCTTCTAGAAATTCTAAGCTTATACAAAGAAAGGAAACCTTTTCTAACTTTTGCGGCATTTCTAAGACAGAAATTACAGCTATATGAATAAAATGCATTTGTATTTACACATTAAAGACAACGCGACCCACTGGTGGGCCATGAAATGTCTGCAATCTGTGACAATGTGACCCACATGTGGGTCATGGCTTAAATTTTATTGAAAAGACTGCTATTTTGAAAAATACATTCGTTGCAGAAATTTTTTACGCTCTAATCTTAGAAGTTACTGTTGTGTTTTTCGCCTACTTCATAGAATTAATATAGCTATACTGTATTTGACGATCTGCATTATCTTAGCTAAAAGTTTCTACATTCCAAGGAGAGGAAAAATACTTGAATTTATGAGGCATTTATTGTCACAGCTATGAAAATAAAATACCCAGTTATGTCTTATTGTTTTTTTTTGTCACTCCAATCACAAACGATGAAAAAAGTCGAGATGAGAAAATGTCTAAAAATTTCAAAAATTGCTACGGCCTGTTTCAGTCTATTCTCTGCATAATATTTGCATCCGATGTGCGGATGAATCGTTCGCTCATCGGATATTGAATACACCGAAGCAATAACTATAAACAATTGTGTTTTCTCTCCGTGTATTCACTACCAATCTGTCGATGAGCAAGCCCACCGATAGTGATGTGTTTCTTTGCAATTAGTACAGACTCCCTTTGCAATGTCGTAAGGTTTACTCTATTACTCAAAGACTGCTGCGTAAGAAATTCTTCGACAGACTGTTGTACCCGAATGCACTTCTTCTCACTGTAATTGTACTTTTCTTCGCCTTTATCTCAAGTGCTCACCTTTTTGAACTCAAACTGATCTTTACACTCATCCTGAAGCATTGTTTAAGATTTTTGACGTTCTTGAAGCACTTTGTCATACGCTACGTGAGATGACCTCTAAAAAGGACGGACCCAAGTTAAACAACCTGCATGTATACTCGGTCACACACATGAACTCCTTCAAGTTGTTTGCTTAGGAGTAGGTAACAAATATAAGGGGTCGCGCATGGTTCTTACTAGGTTATGCGTTCTTATGTGAGTACCCATCAGTTTCTCTTACACTGCCTATGACTACAGGGTGTCCGCCTCTTCATTAAAACTATTTGACTTTGGGTCAAAGCTTTTGGACATATGGAAATTGCTCTAAGTTATTCTGCTTTCATTTTTGCGATTGTCCGACCAGTTAGCACTTTCTGGACTAAGTTCTCAACGTCTTTGATCTCACGAGGGCAGCTGAATGTGACAGTTATCTAGAAAGATATACATATTTGTATGTACCTGCTCAATTTTGATTTTTGAGCTTTCACAAGGGCTGTGAGAGCAATGAATGTTGGTTTTTCTCAAATGCGCAATCTTTTCGAAACTTTATCCTACATTGTTCTCTTTTGATATGATCACTACTGCAGGTTTACAGTAAAAACTTCCCAAATTTCGGACTCTGGTACTTTTAGATGTGGAGACCTAAAAACTACGATTTGCTTTTTAAGCTAATCCAGTGCTATCGCTCCACATTCACCGTTTATGCAGCCATTATTATTTTTGCAGCTTTTACGGTACGTCTATGGTAGTGGCAAACCAGTGAATCTAAAAAGCGGTATTTGTTGTTATTATTGCTGCTAATATTTTTATAATTATCCATGCGATTGTCTTTAATCCTTTTTCTCTACATTATTAGCTCAGGAGTTTTATGTGACTTATTGTCCAAAAATGCAATTGTTATGAGCTGTAAAAACACTTTTTTGGCAATAAGCTCTGAACGCAGGCTGATAGAGAGGCTTTATGTATTGTTCAATAAAATCGTCACTTGCCGAGGTTTTGTTTCTTCTCGATAAATAGAATCATATTCAATAAACTCAACGTCACAAAGTTTACCGCTTTCTCTGGGCGGGCTTCTGAGATATTTATTAGGCTGTCGAAAAAAGTAAACTCTATTTTCAAATAAATTAAGCTGTGTTTGTTTTCCTATCAGATAGGATACCATTCTATAGAACGGAACACTCTCTACAAAAAGGCCGCAAGAATCCACCTAATTTGTAATCCAGGCAGAATTTGGAGCCAAAATTCTCCAGCTATTCTAATAACGGATCGCCTTCCAAAAAATTCCTACGAACTTCCAACTTGGTCTCTATATAATAGACACATGGCAACATAAAGAATTACATTTGGTTGATTTTTGCTGGGCTCAACTTTAGCGGAGCCTTGATGTTCATTTTGTAGAGCTTGATCTGCTCCATCGAATACTTCCCCAAGTCTAGTAGTTAAACAAAAATAGCTTAAATTGAAAAAAGGGTTTATTTTAGGACAACCCAATAATAGCAAGATTTCTCAAAACTCTTCACAGTTGATAACTTATCTAGTCTGTTGAGGACTTCTTCTCAAAGCGACTTAGCCACCATTATTTACATAACACGAACTTCTTCTCAAAATATGTACTCTAGCAGGAGTAAGTAAATATTAAACAAATTTCTGATGTTCTTCGTTTATTTTCGTTTCGTTTATTCTAGCGTATATTCACCTCTACTACGTCTCCGGCCTCACTGATTTCTCGCTTTTTAGCGGTTTTACTTTCACTTTTTTTATTTTCAGGGCATGTTATTATTATTAATACTCAGCCTCACTGGGATAACCACAGCCCTCGAGAATGGTTTGGCTAGGTAAGCGTTTCTTTTTTATTCTTTTGCACTTTTGTAGCAAGGTCAATACATGAGCATGCCTTGCTTCAAAAAAAGTTTTATTGCTATCTCATTTTAGAAATTGTACGTTTCTCGTGTATACAAAAAATGCAGAAGAACTGGTATAGAATGTAGAAAAAACTTTTGCACTATTCTGTTATCAAAACGACGAAAGGGCTCCATCCTCGGTGAGAAAGGGAATGATGAAAGGGGTTTAGCTTGAAAAAGGAAAAGTTTTTCGGTTTGTTCGTGACAATGAAGCAAAAATAATATTTTTCCTGCATTCTGATTAGTTTACATCTTACTTGCTTTATTTTTGACAAAAGTGCTGGTTTTATGCGTTCTTATATTTTATTTCTGCAAGACCAAAATTTCAACTTCAACGAATTTTGGCCAAATTTTCTGTAGGAATCAAGGTATCTCGTTCAAACAATGGCAGTGTTCCAAACGCGAGTGCTTAGAGCCGCTGGCATACTTCATGCGATTTCAGTCGCCACGGGATCTGGCAATTTGCCAGATGTCTTTAAATTCAATACTGGCAGACCTCAAATGCAGCATGTATAACTTTCGTAGACTGATAAAATGCCCTATCTTCCGTACATTCAAAAACCCCTTAGGATGAGTTATAAACATCTAAAGTGATGCCAAATCGCGTCGCGACTCAAATCGCGTGAGGTATGCCCAGGACCTAGTGGATAGCCAAACGCGCTGAGTTACGTTAACAGAATTTTATTGATCGCGTTATTTTTGAACTCTATAATCTCTTCTGCGATTTGCATGCAAACGTCTGCTAAGAAGTAAGAAACAATAGTTCTATGCCTTGGTATACAAAGAATGCAAATTCTCTTATCGCTAAAGAGTTGACTGGAAACACTATGAGTACGACAAGACTTTCTAGAGCAAGGGCACATGGTGCAAATGTACAAAAACTCCAACAGCGCCATTATTATTGCGATTTGGATAATCGGCAGCCAAGAGCAAAGTTTCAATAGTGCATTTTTGTGAAATTTTTCGAAAGTTGTTTCTTGAGAAGAAATATCTGGGAATCCAATGGAGCAAGAAAAAAGGATACATTAAAGAATCAGATGTCAGGCAAATATCATCAAAGCGTTTCCCGTTACAGAAAGTTCTCAATTTTTCTATGATTATTTATTGCAAGCTGAACAAGGAACTTGAAAGAGAAAATGTCGATCAAGAACGATCTAGAAAATGAAGGTTATTTGACCCTTGCTGAATACACAATAAATTATCTAGCAATTGCAACATGTTGCTTGCATGATATTAGGGTTATGTCGACCTTTCAGAATTTCGTTTGAATTTGAGGGCAGGAAAGAGAGGGAGACGCAAATAACCTAAGGCGTTATTGGCCTGAGGGCTTTGGCACATTGTTGAGAAATCTGAAAAACGCATTTACCAAATTTAGGACGCCGCCAATGGGATGGATGTCATGGACAGCATTTTATTGCGAGATGGACTGCGATAGACATCCGAAAACCTGCATCAGTGAAAATTTGTACATGGAAATGGCCGATGAGTTAGGTTTGGAGATACTTTAGAAATTTAGGTTTTTTGTGAAAAGCCTAAATTTCTAGTCAGAGGCGGATTTCGAGACGTTGGCTATACTAACGTGCATGTTGATGATTGCTGGATGGGTCGGGAACGAGATCGAGCCAGTGGTCGACTTGTGGCTGATCAAAGACGATTTCCCAGCGGAATTAGGAATCTAGCACGATATGTCAGCGGCCATAATTAACTGCCAAAAAAAATTTGCTGACAAATAACATTTAGATGCACGCTAGAGGCCTAAAATTTGGCATTTACGAAGACTACGGTACGAAAACATGCGCTGGTTTTCCCGGAAGCTATGGTTATCTCCACGTAAGAATATATTTCTTTTCATTACGCGCACTATCCTTATAATTATCTGACTAAATAATGCTTGGGTAGTATTTATTGAGTCGTTAAAGATTATTTATTTCCGTTATTTTACTATAGAATTCAGTTTAGGTTGATGCTTACACATTTGCCGAATGGGAAGTAGACTATCTAAAGTTGGATGGATGCAATATTGACACTGATCTCATGCCAAAAGGTATGAGCATTTAGCACTGTCGCGACTCGCGCTCGACTTGCGCACTAGCCCTGACCGAGTCGTGCGCGAGTCGCGCAAAGAAAAATACAATTTAAGTGTTACTTGGAAAACGTCTTCAAGCATCTACTTACATCATCTTTTCTAACTGTAATTCTTGTTCAGGTTATGCCGAAATGGAGCGATGGCTGAATGCTACAGGTAGACCTATTGTCTACTCTTGCAGTTGGCCTGCATACCTCATTGATCGTCCTGACAAGGCAAGAAAATGTTTTTCTTGACTCATTTTGAGGTTTGTAATATTTGTTGAACTTTAGGTTGATTATAATTTGGTGGCAAGACACTGTAACCTTTGGCGAAATTTCGACGATGTCAACAGTTCTTGGAAATCAATATTGAGCATTATCGATTACTACGACCATAATCAAAACAAACACATTCCTACGCATGGACCTGGACATTGGCATGATCCCGATATGGTAAATTTATACTTCTCTGCTATCGTACATAGTTTGTGATTTGGCACTTTTCCAGCTTGTTATTGGTAATCCTGGCATCAACGTGGACATGGCCATTGCGCAAATGACTATATGGTCTATTTGGTCAGCTCCGCTAATTATGTCAAATGATCTCCGCATTATCGGCCCAGAATTTCGAGCCATTCTTCTAAATCGTGAAGTAATCGCAATTGATCAGGACCCTATGGGCAGGATGGGACGGCTAGTCGCTAATGTGAGTATTACAGTCCACATACTTTGCCAATAAACAAAGAAGCGCAAGTGTAAGTAAATTTGAATCTCTATGTGGAAACTAGTTGGGAGAACTTCGAGTGAGCTTTGCTTGCTGCTCATAAGATTTATTGGCAAACGGGATATACGGCTCTGAACTCTTGCCCACTACCGTACTTCACGATGGTGTTCGCCCAGGAAAGAGTACTGTTTGGGCGAAAATTCGAAGTCAAAAACCTTAAACGCGAATAAATCATTTGATCTGCCGCTTGAGCAAAGGCCTAGTTGAGGTTCCTACTAGATGACCATCCACATGAGAAACCTACGCAATCAGATTTACCTGGACTATGCCTCGGAACTTGGAAGCATAATAGGAATCTGTGCTCTTAACACAAATTTTTTTTCAGGTCTCAGGGGTCGGCGCATACGTGAAGCCTATCATGCCCGTCTACGATAGAGATACCTCATTTGCTCTGGGATTCCTCAACAGGAACTTGAAACCTAATGTAAGTTTGCAAATTATCGTACAAAAACAGTGAAAATTTCCTGTAGACCTGTAAAAGCAGCGAAATATTCCTAGCTAGATTTTTGATTGCAGTTGATTTGAAGGACACCCATTCAAACACCTGTGGAAACTTTGTTCTCCTCACATTCACTGAGCATGCATAAGACTGTCTCAAAAATATAGAAGTTATCCTGAAAGCAAGAAAATAAGTGTTGCGGCGTATAGAAGCGAATTCTGTACAGACTTTTCTGGAAGAGGGAGGAAGACGCAACATTTATAGAGGCAACCGTTAGTCACGCCTTTTACCACTATAGCTCGGCTAAACCACTTAGGAAAACTCCCTTGGGTTCCATTTGATTTCTGTTCACTAATTACGCGCCACCGTTCGCAGTACGGAGGGGGGGGGGGGGGTTAAGCGTCGAGGAGGGGTTACGCTGTCTGTGGGCTCCACTCCGCGGATAGCTGTACAGAGCTGTAATGCGTAGAAGTACGTACCCTTTGTTTCAACAGGCTTGACGGCTTGAAGGCGGGGCTTCGTGACCTAATTAAGGCTAGGTAATGATCAGAGAGCACGCGCGCGGGAAAGGCGCAGGCTGCGTCGCAGGCGCGAGCGGCTTTAATTAGGTCACAAAGCCCCGCATTCCATCAAAACCAGTTGAATTAAAGGTTAGTTCGTTGCAAATGTCCGCGCGGGACCACTTTTATAATGTCTTCTATTCCCATCCCGGTTTACGTGGACATCTCGACCTCTCAAGCAAATTGCTCACGTCCGACCTTACACCCCTCGGCAACCGTGCGATTGCATAAGGTCTATTTACTCATATTAAAATTCAAAAACCTCCAACCTTTCCCGGAGTTTGCTTCTGTGTTGCTGCCGTGATGATTTAGATTTACTTCCGGTCAAATGCTGCAACTGGATCAAGGTCGTCAAATTTGGAGCTCCGCGAATAATTCATTATTTGTTTATTTATCTATCTGTTTGAATATGCGGTGCGGCGCGCCAGAAACAAACGGATTGACAAAAGATGATCAATTGCTAGAAATACACTGTTACACTTCCATTTCTTAATTAGCTTTTGTTGCAAACCTAACTAAACCGTTGAAAAGTAACGTGTCGGATCACACACATGATTAGCACTGGGGAATGCTACCGCCCTAAGAGTAGTGCACTTCGAGGGCGTCCAAGACTAGCCTGGCTCACGTTAGGTATCCACCAATCTAACAGTCTATCAACTATAGAAGTTACATCTCATATCTTATCTTTAGGAAGTCGAGTTCAAACTGAGGAATATGGGTCTCACCAATCCACGTGGATATATGGTGAAGGACGTATGGAACCACACACCACCAATGAGACTCTACCCAGACCATATACTACGGATAGTTGTCCCTCCAACTGGAGCGGCCATGTTCCGTGCCGACCTCATAGCGCCTAGCATTTGGCCGTTTCGAAGTAACAGAAACCAGATGCTTGGAGTGCTGAACAATAGGGTGCCCACAAGCTTATAATTTCTCTGATAAATACGGGTATATTATGTTGCAAGCAATGTTCAAATGCTAGTAATGACAGTAACGAAGTTGGTTTATATTATACAATTTATAGACAGTCAAGCAGATTTTTCACTCAGTATAGTGTGCTTGCGGTGCTTGCGGTGCCGAGATAGTGCGGTTAAATTTGCGCGTGAACAAAGGCACGCCAGCGATGCTGGCATTTTGCGCGCGCAAGTGGCCAGCATCACAGGCGGAGCTAATTGTTCACGCGCAAATATTACCTCACCAAGGCACCGCAAGCACACAATATTGAGTGGATCTACTCGACGATACAATATGTGCTAATGTGTCATTTTTTTTTCTCTGAAGCAAAAACTTGTATAAAATTTGATTGTTTGCTGTGCATTTTCAAAGAAACTTTGGATGAAGTTAGGTACACAAAGGTAGAAAAACGTAATGTTACAGGGTTTTTTGTTGGTTTTTGCTGAATTTTAACTGCTGTCATCTGAATATTCGAACCATTTTGAAAGCAGTTGCAGACTGCGGTTCCACACGCTATTATGCTCACTGCCTTTACCATTTTGAAGTACCATAGTAGTTACCATATAATAAAGGAAAATGCACAAATTACTGTGTCGCTTCAGTGGACAGGACGTCCACCTGTAGTCAAGTCAATTCATAACGCCGCACAACCTGTACAACATCCAGTCTAAGCCGCACTCTAATTTTAGTGCATACTATTTTGCTTGCATTCCAGAAGGAATTTTCTTAGTGTTGTAGCTGTATTCAAAACTGATTTTAAACAAAAGATAATGAGATAGCCTTACCTTGGATGTGCAATTACCGGCCATGGAAGGTATGGAATAAACGGAAAATATGGATGGCATGAGCACGATCGCATACCATACTGGCACGTGCGAATTTTTTCGGCACTTTTCGAACATGCAGCGATGTTCTGCGTCTTCCGTGTCTAACTCGCTTCTGTCAATCTCATGGTGGACATTGACCGTGCGACATTCGTGTAAAATTCAAACGTTTTTTTTTTTGTAACACAAATGCAAATATTCAATGCTAGCTCAATCTGCTTCAGAATGTATGGATTATGCAGATATTCCAAAGCTTTGTGACCAGCGATCAGCTCATCGAGACTTTTCTGATGTATCGCATTGCTCTGATCCGTCAGGTTCGGTGGGTAGATCGCTTCTCAAATTCGCCTGAAAATATGTGAAGGAGAATCGATGACTTATCGCATTAATCATTTTTATCTATTGCGATTATACCAAAAGTGCTTTACCCCCATAGTATACAGAAAATTTGCGAATTTCCTTATCTCCATTGAAATTAATGAAAAAAATGGACCTTTTAAAGCTGGTCTTCTTTGTTAGGCGTTATGGTTTGTATATTGCGATATAAGCGTAAGGCGCTGGCTAGATATAGTATGCTCATACAAACTTCTACTTCAGCTAGATGCTTAGTACGAGTTGTTCCTTTGAGCACGTGAGCGGTTGTCAATATGACTGCCAACACCCACCAAGAATTTCGAACTCACTTTGAGCTGTAGCTCTACCAACGAAGTCACAGTTTATAACACATTGTCCGCTGCTTTACGTGGCGCAGTAAACTGTCTCAATTCGTTGCCATTTCAAGTTGAGAAGTTGCTTCTTGATAGCTTCGGTGAACGCTAGCTATTCAAAGACAAGAGAAGCTTGCCATTTTTGTTCAAAGGTAATAAATAAATGCTCTCGAATTAACGGCGGATCCTTTCTCAAGAAACATTCAGAAATGAATGCAATGAGGGTTTGATCCGATGAATCGATTAGAATAAAACGATTAGAATAAAAGAAGCTTGTGTCTTTGTCAGGTTAACTGTAGAAGAGATTTTGCTTGCGTTGAGTATGCCAGCGCAAGCGGCTTATGCCACTGATGATTGTTACAAGTAAGACTACAAGAAACAAGTATCCAAAAGGGACTTTATTGAGTCTTTATCTGCTATGCATTTTCCCTAGGTCCAATCACGCCTTTGTGACCTCCCAACACCCTCACAAAGAGAGTTAGTATACTTGCCATGCCCTTTAGGACAATCTGTGCAAAGCGATAAGGAAAGCGTCAGGATAAAACGTGCAAAACGCAAGCAACGTGAAACCCTCAACTCGCAACTATGCGCCAATTTTGCAATGCGTCGGATTATGTATTGTCTTCGACTCTCACCCCTGTTTTGTCGTTTTGCACGATTAGTTTTTTTATGGTCCAAAATGGATTTTTCGCTTAAGGTCTTGAGCAAACGTCACGCGATTTCTGTGCCTCGCGAGCAAGACCTGGCAGTTTGCCAGACGTCTTCAAATCCAACATTGGTAGACCGCAAACGCATAGTGTGTATCTTTTTTGAAATAATAAAGTGATTCATTCTCTGCATATTTAGAATGCGCGCATGATGAGTTATGGACAATTGCATTATTGCCAAAACGCATCGACGCTGAAATCGGGTGGCCAGGGCATACAACACGCGATTTCAGACATCTGGCAATTCGCCAAATGTCTTCAAAATTGATGCTGGCAAAGTCCGAATGCGCAGCATGCGTAACTCTCGTAGGTTGATAAAATACCCTGTCTTCCGTACATTCAGAAAACCCCTACGATGAGCTACTGACAATTGAACATAGCCAAATCGCGTAGCGACTGAAATCGCGTGAGATATGTCTAGGGCCTAACTCTACACCGAGTGGTTTCGAATCTCAGTATCAAAAGAAATGATACACAGCATGAAGTTGATACACGAGTGTGGCTCGTGCAACCGTAGACTTGCCCGCGCAGGTATGCAAGGGACAGGAAGGAGTCACGAGAGCATCTACAAGACCGGGCGTTTAAAATTTAAGCGAAAGTATTGATTTGCTCTCGTTGAAAGCGGCTATTGAACTGTACCAACTTCTTTACGATTCGACCAGATGCTCCTTTCAAGGAGATTAGACCGGAGAAGCGATGGACTTCGTGGGCAAAAGAGAAGCAATGCGCATGTTTGATTTTTGATGTTTTCTTATTTATGTATGCTGAGTGTGAATATGTGTGGGTTGGGCCAGACTGAGCGGCGTACGCTACGCCCAAATTTTTGGGCACGCTGCGTACGTGTACGTCGCGGAGGTCGCGCAGTATTACCCAACCCTCCGGGTATAGAAGCGGCAAAGTGTACCACTTTACTGGCAAACTTCGTCCAAGTATTTCTTTGTGTTCGAGTGTGTGTAAGTGTGTAAGTGCACGAAACTCTTTCAATCAAGCTATTTGCTCGAAAATGAGTGGTGTGCTGCTAAATTGGAATAAGCTCTTCAAGATACTACAAGCGCTTTAGGACACTACAACATCGGAACTCTCTTCCATTTTACCAACACAACTTGGCACCTTGTCGAAAAACGCTCGAGATCTAGTGCACAAGTCATACGACGTGAGTACCATGCAAAGCTGTGTTCAGTGATAGGCATGACTGCGAATTTGGGAACGGCCATAGGTTGTCGGTGTTGTCGGGGTTGTCGGGGTCAGACACAGTTTAGAGAGCGCGCGAAACGTGGAGGCTATCATGGGGTCCTACAACGACCGGCAACCCCGAATACCGACAACATCGACAACACCGACAACCTATGGCCGTTCCCAAAGATAATTATTCTGGATGGGAAACATAAAAATGGGGTGTGGTGCAGAAGGCGACCATCCCAAAGTTTTGTGCCTTTCAAAACTCGATGCTAAAGTGACACGGCGCCAAGATAGGGGGGGGGGTGAGTGTAGGGGCAGATACATAAATTCATGCTATAAGTAAAAATTTGTAAACTTAGCCAGAGCGATCTTACATTGCTCGCAATTTGCAAAAAAGTGTGAGGTCATATTCTAAGAATTGCTCAGGGTTGGGTCAGACTGCGCGGCTTACGCAGCGTACAGACGTCTGACCCAACCCTTAGATAAAAAATCTCTGAAGGTCAGTGCAGTCAGTCACTGCGATCACTGCGACAGTACGAAACAAAACTATGCATGTACGCTGAAAAGCAATCAAACCCGCTTACTCTAAGTGAGTTGGGCGCCGTGCCAATTTTACATCGGCGCTCCTGTATATCCAATGCAACATTGCATTTCTTTTGGGACCACATGCGTAATATTCCATTCCAGTTTGTATTGCAGCTACGCAAACCTCACACACTGTTTCTCACGGTACGCCGCCCAGTTTGGTTGAACCTCCTCATTGTGCTGAGTAATTCATCATTTCATCATTTATTGTTTAAATCAACATTTCATAATACAATCTTAACCATTATTGTCATTGAATGGAATCCCGAAGCATACAAGCTCCATTTTATGCCCAGCAAACGGCAACTGGAAAAGAGGCCGCAGCTGTTATTTGTTCGCGGAGAGATACAGTCAGATGTCGTGAATATTACTCATAAATATTCGCGTATTAGAATTTAATACACAGTGTTTTCTCTATGATTTGGGCACACGTATATTTGCGAGAAATAGCATCTTCTTCCCGCATCAAGAACTTTGTTCAATATCTTTGTAGAGGAAATATTGAGTTCTTTACTCGTCCGCCAGAGAGAATTCTGCCATTCTCGCTCAATTTTGTCATAATACTATAGGAACGCAACTCCGCAAAGTTTGTGCACAGGATTGCGACACGTGGCAAACTTTGTTCATTAAGCAGTTTTCCTTCTAATTCTTACGAATAGAGGAATGATTTCTGTTCCTGCTGAGTCTTCACCTGACAAAAATTTTTGTTTAAAGGCACCGTCCATCCAAAGTGGGGGTTCACGAGATTTGATGGCATGCTAATGTGGCCCCCCACACTAGGCCAACCCCCAAGTTTCCCCGCAAAAGATTGCTTCCGAAGCGAAAAATCCGCTCCGGAAGGTACGTAATCCAGAGCTGGTCACTCCGCCCAGCCTCCGCCCAATTTGCAGGTTTGGCGGGCTGCGGCGCTGATATACGCAGGGCTAAAACAGCGCAGCCCTGCGACCTGCACTTCCACCCGTCCCGCTTGTTCTCCAAAACAGGGTTTTCGAGGTTTTCGGGGATTCTCGACTTCATATTCGAAATCAGGGCCTTCAGAAGGCCCAGAAGCGACAGAAACATGGAAGTCGAGAATCTGGG